TCCTTGAGGGAATCCTAAGCCTTTATATAATAAAATTCACTTCATAATATTCGTTATATGATTTTTACTACATGATTCTATATATGATTTCTATATTTACTATTATTCCTAATTTTCCGTTGTTCATTACCAACTCCATATTTGTATATTTGTTTACTATTTATTGTTTACTGTTACTATTTAATTTCATTCCATTGTATTAATTCTTACTTACTTCTGAATTCGTTATATTACTTTTACTTCCATTATATTAATTCTTTCTTGTTTTCCTTAAGATATTTAATGTTTTAATAATAATTTTTCCTTCTTACTTTTTCGGACTTCTGTCTTTCTTTCGTATCACTACTAACTTCTGTTCTTCTTCTGATTTCCGTTTCGTTTATGATGTCATGTATAACCTTTATATTACACAAGCTTCCATGTGGTCCAGTTTGTTATTCCTAACGAGTGTGTCTTTTGTATAACCTTCCTGTATCTCGTGTAACTTCTTCAATTTGTTATTTTTCAAATATTTTCTAAGTCTTTTTATAAGACCCTCCGTCCGGTTGTTTAATTATCCTTTTTCCTTGACCCTTTATTCGGTTAATTAATTATCCTTTTTCTTTCGATAACTAATTTATCCGAATTATTTTCTTCTGTGATTTATTCACTTTGTGTAATCTTCCTTTTTGATCTGTAATTTATTCGAGTATTATTCTTTTCTCTTAATAAAATGATCATTTCTCTTTTATCATATGACTTTTCCTTATGACTTTTTACTGAATATTGTTAATCATTTCCTTTTATATTATTGTGTCTTGATTAATGAAATTGTTGACTCTACACCGTTTAAAAAATAAAACAATTTATAAATGCATGTGTTTTAAAGGATGGTTAAAATCAGGTTTATTTTAAAATGAGAGAATAAAATTTATTTTTAAAATAATACTTTAGAATAATTTATTTTTTTATATAAAAATTATTATGTATTTATTTTAGTTTATGCTTTATATTTATTTTTATTATTTTTAAGATTGTTTAAATGATTTAATTATTTTTTTGCAAATAAATTAAATTTGATTCATTATATAATTTAATAAATATAAATTTTATATTCTGCTCTATTTATAATCAATTCACATTTAGTAAATACTCCAAAAGCATTTTTCTTCAAAGATAACGATTTGAAAGCATATTCTTTAAAGATACATGGAAGGCGGTCAGTAGAAAGGGGGAAATTCAAATTTTGGTCAAAATTTATATTATTGGACCACTTGGCTAATCTTGGTCATGTATGCAAAATTAGCTTAATAATTAAAATTAATAAAAATTTTGGATTTTTCCGTTTTCTACTGACCGCCTCCCACATTTTAGAAGTGATTTTTTTAAAGAAATTGCTTTGGAAAGTGATTTTTTTTGAAAATAATACTTTGGAAGTATTTTATATTGAATGTAATACTCTAGAAGTATTTACTTTAAAAATAAATTTCAGAAACATTTTCTTTTAAATATATGCTATAGTAGAAATATATTATTTTAAAAAATGCTCTAGAAATATGTTCTTTTAAAGATATGTTATAATAGAAGCATTTTATATCAAAATAATACTTCAAAAGTGAAATACTTAAAAGAACTCATTACAGAAGTGAAATTCTTAAAAGAAATTGCTATAAAAGTGAATTTCTTAGTAGAACTCACTCTAGTAGCAAAACACTTAAAAGAATTTATTACAAAAGCAAATATTTTAATAGAAATTACTTTAGAAGTAAAACTCTTAAAAGAAATTACTACAGAATTAAATTTCTTAATAGAAATCACTCTGAAAATGAAACTCTTAAAAAAAATTACTTCAGAAATATATTTTTTAAAGAAAAATATTCTGAAAGTGATTTTATTTATATGATTCTCTTGAAGAAAATCGTTTTTTAGAACTTTTCAATTATTTCAAAATTTTTTTCAGATTTTATTAATAATGTAAACCTATGAGCCAACTTGTATGGCTCACGAGCTGGCTCGACTTATCACATTTTATATTTGAGCCAAGCTGGCTTGTGAGCTAAAATAAATTGGTCTAACCCAAGCCAATGGTTAAGCCAGCTCAAGCCAGCTCATGTGAAGTTTTATTTGTAGGTGTTGAAGTTTCAATTCTTATATTATACTAATAATACATTTTGGGATTTACTGGGTAACTATGAATTATTGCATAATAACCTATCAATTTCTTACCTCTTTTTGGTTTCCAAAATTAAAAACTAGTATTTTGTAGGTTGCTAGATTATTATCACTTCTCATATCACTTTAGTGATGTGGTCTCTCCAAGATTATTTCGTGATTATATCCAAAATAATTGGCTTTACTATTTTCTGAATGACTACACATCCAGTAATCAGATTTTCACAAATTTTAGAATTATAGATATTTAGAATATGCTGAATCCAGTCATTTAATCCTCATTAAAATTGAACTATAGATTAGTGAGGTATTCGTGTTCCAAGTTCATTATAGCATTTAGTTTTTTATGATAATTTCCCTTGAAGTCTTACTTCTGTGAAAGATAACCTAACCATTTTAGTGAAAAAAATAATGGTAAACTTTTTACCTGAAAGCCTTGACTGAAGGAGAATGCTAATATTTTTTGACTTTATTGATGTATAAGAGGCTTGCATATAAATACTGGAATAAGGATTAGCAAGTTAATAGATATTAGAATTGAGACATTTGTTTCAGTAACCTTTATATTTTATAATGATCGTAGTTATCAACTGCGAAAGAATTTTTTATAAAATACTAGACATGATTATAATATTTAGTAAGAGAATCATATAAAAAGTAATATATTAATTTTGCAAAGGCATAATTCATTAAATCCTCAAAATACTTAAATAAGTACTCTGTTCTAAACAAAACCAAAAAGCTTTTAAGTATAATCAATTATAAATATCACAAATCAAAAAATAAAGTTTTACATATATCTCAAAAACTTCATCAAATCTTATTCAAACCAATCTCTCGAACAAATCTCTCAAACCAATCTCTTATCTATCTTCACAAAATGCTTTCAAACTCTAATATATTTTTAATCGTACTTTTCAGCATTATAATTATAATCTATAAGATGCTAACCCAGAATGTTTTAACAATAGAGATGCTCCAAGGCATTTTTGCAGGAATGTCATAATGTACATAATCTTTACAGGAATTATATTTTACACATATATCTATTTCCAGCTCTAGCAAAATCACAAATCGCCAAACTTGAAAAAATGGTATTGATGATTAATAATGAATTATCTGATCATGAATAGATAGGAATTTGGCACAGAATATCATTTAGCAATGAAATTGTATGCCAAATTCTTGGAGTTATAGTTTCGAAATTACTCAATATCAAGAAAGTTCTCTTGCAGAAATGTTATTTTACATAGTCTATGTGGGTGAAAAATATAATTCATCAAAAATTCTATAGATATGGGCGGGATAATTTATTTTGAAAATCTAGTGTTGAAAAAGATGAATATCTTATAATTAGTAGCTATAGCAATATAAATAAATTAGCTATAGAAATTAGTGAGATCAAAGAAATAACTTGATGTTAGGACTCGCAATAAATGGCTTAGGATTCACGTATTTCCTCCCTCATTGATAACATCATACATTTCATTTGCTTTTATAGCATTTTTCGCTATGTACAGTATCTGAAAAATAATAAATTTCGTCTAATTTACGGGCTCCATTTTTTAATTTGGATAAATTTTGTATTATACAAATCAGTATACAGTATGCTTGTCTGTAATCTGTGCTATTTTATGATGATCATTAGGGTACCTTTTATCTATCACGCCACATCACATCACCGCTATTTTAATTTTTACAGAATTTTTTTTTGTTATGGAAATCCTAACCATCACACAACCACTTTTGATCACTTATATGTCACCTGATCAACATAAAATGGCACATGCGTATTGTACTACAAATTATGTCAAATGATATAATTGATGTCATGTGATTGTGATTCGTGAATATATTAGAATGGAAAATTTTTTTCGTGATTAAAACAGCTATGGAGTCTCATTGGAATACCTATTTCGAAGAAACACGATCGGGAGATTATCGTTTTATAGGTTGTTACCATTATCGTTTACAACAAGATGACTTCTCATTTTCCTTTCAGAAGGAGTTTAACAGACTAAAAAAGAAACTTGATAATATTGTGAAGAATGGATCAGATGAAATGAGGAATAGTGCTAAACAGCTGATTAATAGTTTTAAAGTGATTTTTATTCAAGTTTTCTATAATTATTTTTTGTGGGAGGCTTAATATGACTAGGAGGGCTATACTTATCCGCTAGCCTATCTGATGGCTTTTCGTTACTGCATATTGAAGTTATAATGAATTCTCTTGCAGGAAAATGGAACTCACACAACTACAGTCGCATCTTACGTGTCTGTTTACAGGTACTTCTTATCACATTCTAATGAGATATGAGATATATTAACTTTCACTAACCTTAGAGACATCGGGAATATTTCATGGATGTTGATGCAATTTGGCGAAAAATTGAATTACACGAAGAGTTACAGCATATTGAGGTTTTTTATTTACCATTTTCTTTATGATCTATCTGATCGAACTTATGTCCATATTGACTGTATTTTTTTTATGACAATAGGAAGAAGCTTCCAGATCAATTATGTATGATACGAAAAAAGTTATCAATACTACTATTGAAAATGCTTGTTCTACAATTAGGAATATTAATAATAGACTGGTATGAATAATAATGAAATTAGTGTAAGGATAAACTTAAATGACAGTTGTTTACTCTTATTTTGTAGGTTAATCTAAGAAAACGTGCAAAAAATCAACCTGATTCTGAAGACATCAAGCGAGTCAGTATGGAATCAATAAATGCTATTTAACTCACAAAAATGTCTTCTCACCTTTTCACATTTACAGATTAAGGTGACCTAGAGTTCATCCGCGTCTGCTTTCTTCACAACTAGTAATAATAAATTATAAAATAATATATGATATAAAAGATGCAATCATTGATGATGAGCGAGCAATCGATGAATACGAAGAATTTAATACTGAAAAAGCAGAGGAAGTAGATAGTTCAAATTATTTCGAGGAGGTAAGTACTAATTATTTTTATTGTTCATCATGATAATGCTTTTGAAAAATCATTTTTTACAAGGCAAAAACATTTAACGTCTCATTTGACGAGTATATTGACTCAACTGTAAACATACAAGATGAAAGTGAGATAGCTGAGTCAAGTGTTGAGGATGAGGAAATAAAATTTGATCTTAATGATATTTGATAGAATTGCAACATGAATCAGCAGTTAAAGTATGTCTTGCGTTGGATTTGTATTTATATTTGCGCATATCTCAGTTTTCTTCTTTTTTTAGTAGGAAGTCGATGATATTAATGTAACAGATAGATTTTGGAATTATTAAAAAGATGTATTCAGGAAGGCAGAACGAGAAGGTCTAGATATCAAAAACATTTACGAATCTTTGTAAGTATTTTGAAATATAACATTCATATTTATAATGATTAATTATATCAAGATTTATTAAAATTTTTATCATTTCATTTAGAGCATTATCATCAATCATGGTTCTCTGTTGGCCATGTCCATATCCTAAGATATTTATGAATTAAGAATGAGCAGAAATTACAAAATTAAATCCTTATACCATTAAAACTCTCTGCTTTTACAAGAGATTTCAACATCCCTTCATGAAGCAACTTGCAACCATTTTATTAGTGAAGATGTCTTTATGAATGGTGGAAAAATGAAGCAAGTAGAGATGTAGCATGCTCATTTAATGATTTGTAAGTATGCTTGTTTCATCATATTTTGTTTCTATCTACGAGTTTGTGATTCACAAAGTTCTTTTTCTGATACATTATACAGATATAATGGCTTACCAATGGTCTCATCAAACATAATGGAAAAAATAACGGAAGAAGAGCACTGTTATATGTTTCTTTATCCAGTTACTAAATCCTTCTTTCTTAATCCGCTAAGGGAGTACAAACTTGTCTTGAATCGCATTACACCAGGGTCAAGAAAAAGGCCCGACCTTTCATGTATCAAAGTTACATTGCTACAAAACAAAACAACTGCAAGCCTTTAAAAAAAATCTACTTCTTAAAAACATAACATTTCACCTATATCAATAAATATGCAAACAACTACATTCGATTTAAACTTTTTGATTTTTGATAAAAAGTTCGTTCCCATTATCTCAGATTATTTTTTAGACATTAGAAGGTGATCAATTCTAGCTTAAACAACACAAATCATCCAATAAGTTAAAGAAAATCATCTGCAAGTCATTAAAATCTTTAAAATGCAAAATATTCTGCAAACAAAATGAAATCGCTGCAGTCAAAGAAAATAAGTCTTCAGACATTATATCATATCATCATTCACATCTGATGAAGATTTATTGAAATTGATAAAATTAATGATATTTATTCATCATTTCAGGAATATAGGAAGAATCTAACTTTCGAATTATCGTCAAAAATGAAGCATCTTTTCGTCATCTACTTTAGACGAAAATGATACCATCTATCATATCAAGAACAATTCTACCAAATGCAATCTATTAAAATAAAATCAATTCATAATGAAGGCAAAGATCTCTGTTAACGTATCAAGCAATATTTCTCATTGTATGTTGAGCATATTATTTGAACAAAAGATTGTTTCTTCTTTGAGTGAAATTCTGTTTTTTTGTGCGATAATGATTATAGTGATTCTATCAAAATTTACTGTAAAAGAATATATGAACATTATTTATCAAATTATTTGATAAGAAAGCAAGGATGAATAGAAGCAATTAAAATTTTAACTATCTTCTATATTCTCGAAGGTATTAGTAAGTAGTAGTATGTACATAGTATAAATATGTATATTTGTAATTAGCTTAAATAATTAAAAATTTTTATAATTTTTTGATTAATTATTAATGTTACTTTCTATATAATATGCATACTTTATTAAAAAAATTCGAGCATTTTTATTTTTATTTTTAAAATACTTTGACCCAAAATATGTATCTAATAAAACTAGATTATAGTGTTAATAATTTCATGATTTATTGTATATATACAAAATCAATGTGTCGAGTTTGATATTTAAAATTTTAATGAGAAAATATTACATCAGTTCCCTATTCTTTTATCGGTTGGAATAGGATTTAAGTATATTCGTTTAATATTTGGCTAATCCAAAAAAAGAAAAAAATAAAGGATAAAATTAAATTGTGAAATAGCAATTTTTTATAATATGGAATTATAATTTATTAGGTTGCAAAGAAACTCTTGGTATAATTGCTTATAATCTCAATTTTACCAGCTGTTGTTGAATATAATCAATACAAAATGCAAATAAAAATATTTATAGAAATTGTTGAGATGAAGAAGCTAACATGATTAAAGAACTCAAAGTAAAACCGTAATTATCACAAAATGCTCATAATATAATTCAGTTTATACTTTATTTTTTCACAACAATTTATTTTTAGTACTTAAAATCCTTTTGCAACCAACATGAACTAGGGGATAATGGGTGAGAAAATATATATTCATTTGCTTTATCATCAGCAACTTTCTTAAATAATTTAGCAACAATCTTTTCTTTCTCCCTGAATTTAATATTTAAATAATCCAATACTTTCGACATATAATATGCTATGTCTCATAATATTTAACCCCTCAAAATATTAAATTTAAAAACTTTTTTAAGCAACTACCATGCGGTTTTTACGAGATTACCTTGTTTTTAATTAAAGATCAAAATACTCCTTATTTTTTGTTTATAATTTTCGTAATTTCTAAAATCAATTACCAAATATAAGTAATTTTTATCATAAATGAGCCCATTATATTTGATGATATTTTAAAAAATTTGTAATTCTTTAAGAATTTAAACCTGATGCTGTGCGTTATTGTTGTCCACGTGTTTGAATGCAAATTCTTGACCTTTATATTTAACTAGATCAATCATACTACAGGATTAAAGCAATATAATATATATGTAATTAATTGCATTAAGAATAATTTAAGTCCATTTGCGCTGATGATGAATAAAATAATAATAAATATATGTTTGAGAGTGCTAATAACTACATAAAAAAAATTGCATATATTGTTGGGATTCTTTCACCTTCGCATTTGCGCTCTCCAAAGCAATGAAAGATTTATTTTATTTCAAGAAAAAATAAATAAATAATTCAAATCTCTCTGAATTACATTTGAAATAGATGACGTTAATTTAAAATAATAAAATAAGAAGAAACAGTTAACAATTTTTTAATTAAAAAGATGAAAAATGTTGAATTTTATTTTATATTAACATTATAATCGTTCAAATAAATATATGAGAGTGAACCCTTAATCAAAAATGATAAAATTTAAATAGTGTAATCAAGTGGCATAGTAAAATCACAATAAGTAAACTATGGATTATTCCTATCTCTATGTCTTTCGAATTACCTCATTATTAATGCCTTTAAGTTGTTGTAATATAAAAAAATTGATGTAAACTTTATGGAAATGATTGATAGATTTTATACGAATAATATGTCAAGGAATTACTCACCCGAAATTTTAGAATGAATTAATTGTAATTATATTCATTATATATCAAGTTTTTTGAAAGAAAATCTGCTACAGCTTTTATTGATCGAATTAAAAATCTTTTTTTACATTTATAATCCAAAATTTAATAAAATAAATGCTCGCGTGATATCAAAATACGTTAAAATAATACAATTCGAGCTTTTTTAAAAAATCTAATTTTTATAATTTAAAATAAATGAAAATACTTTTGTTGAAATCAATTGTCATTTATTGCATTATTTTCTCAGAAAAAAATGTGAAAACATTTTTCGTACTATCTAGCTTTATCATTTTATACAGTATGCAATTGTTTAATCCAATCAATATTCTGGATTTAAGAATGTATTATTTATTGTAGTCTTAATAAGTATTAATGTTTTCTAAATATCAGAAAACCACTTAAAAAGAAGGTTAATTTTCTTAACATTATCCTAAATATGAGTAATTAATGAATGGTTTAACTTTTTTTCAGATTTTATTTTATTTTACTAAATATTCTTAGATTTCTGCAATTGTTACAAGCAGCCCTTAATTTTTATTTAAAAATTCGCTTATACTGTATATTTTTTGTGATAACATATGAACAAAACTTTTATTCATTCAATAAGTTTTCTGATTTTAACACGATGTATAATAAATATTAAATTACCCTATAAATAATCAGTATAAGGAAAGTATACAGAAATAATACATTTAAAAAACAGTATAATAAATTCGTAAATAATTCCATATACAAGATACTGAAAATTGATTTTTTCCGTATGCAAAAAAATACAAAATTTATACGTCTAATCAGTATAATGTATACGTAATTTTTGTTAAATTTTATACGTCAAATCAATATATTGTATACGTTATTTTTGCATAGATTTTATACGTTTAACCAGCATATTATATACATTATAGATATACGTAATTTTATATATAATTTTATAATAGTAATGCTAGCCAATTTATATAATTTATAATTTATAATT